CATCATCACATGTTGTCTTATTTGCACTTCCCGTTACTTTACAAAGACAGAAGTGTGGCTGTTACAATCATTTCACTACTCTACTAATTTAGACAAAGAATGTTTGCATTACTTGCTCAAAGAAAAGCAGCCAATTATTAGTAAAGATGGACTAGCTTGGGCACGGTGGCTCACACCTGTAATCCTAGCTCTGGAAGGCCAAGGCAGGAGGATCATTTGAGCTCAGGAGTTCGAGATCAGCCTGAGCAAGAGCGAGACCCCATCTCTACTAAAAATAGAAAGAAACTAGCTGGACAACTAAAAATAAATAGAAAAAATTAGCTGAGCATGGTGGCGCATGCCTGTAGTCCCAGGTACTTAGGAGGCTGAGGCAGTAGGATTGCTTGAGCCCAGGAGTTTGAGGTTGCTGTGAGCTAGGCTGACGCCACAGCACTCTAGCCCTGATAACAGAGTAAGACTCTGTCTCCAAAAAAAAAAAGATGGGAGTAGAAGTGAAGATGTTTTCCTAATTTCTACCCCTGTATTCTTGTCTTTCTGCATAATAGTGTCCTGTACTTATCATTGTGACTCTCTGACTTTCTTAATAGTTGGACTAGCATCTATGAAGCTTTCTCAAAGAATATTTGAGCCCTACTGCCACAATTTTATATAGCTCATTAACTTACATTTGACTATATTCAAAGCACATTTTTACTCCTGTTACATATTACTGCCTACATTCTTGGAAATACTTTTCACTTTTTTGACAACTCTGCTATCAATCTTTATCAACGTATATAGATATTAATATTGGAGGAATTGAAAGTATTGATATTGGTAATGAAGAACTGGTCTTGTCTCCTTTTGAATAAATTCTTAAACTATTTCATATGCAAATTATAGTTGAATTTTTTCTGCAACGTGATCCTCCTTTAGTTCACAATACTTTATTCATAAGCTGAAACGCACTATAGTTTCAGATTATATCAGAACACAAAATACTATCTCATTAATTATAAGATACAGAATGTGAATATTAAATATGAGAATAAAGAAGATACTCTAAGATGCTGCTATTTTGAACTCCATTTTTCTGTTAATTTATATCTGAATATAGAAAAGGTGCAAGAAGTGCCTGTAGTTAGTCAAGTTAAGTATCTCAGCTCTAGTTCTCATGGCATCCTTCCAATCACAGAACTTTCTTTGAAGTCACTGTGTGTTCCACACACAAGGCACTGATATGTGCCAGGAAAACGTAGCCCCAAGATAGTTCATTTTTTCTCCTGTTAAGTTTCTGCCCACCCAGAGTGTGAAGTTACAAGTTAGCTCTTTGTTCTTGGTGTACTTTATTGTTTTATTTTTAATGTCGTCCTGAAGACTGAGGTAATGTCGGAATGCATATCACATCCTAGTGAGAAGGCATAATTAACCTTTCATGATGGCAATGCCATTAAACATGATGTACCATTCCTTTAAAATGTCATAGGCAGATTATGTGATTTTATGAGAATTTCACCTCTCTTCTTAGCAGCTAGTTTTCTCCCAACTGCCTGTTTACCACTACCTCTCAATGTTTCCATTAGTGTCATTCCAAGAATATTAATAATTGAGTTACTCATGCTAGAGAGCCATTAGTTTATATGTGTAATGTTGAGATATTAATAATATGTCTCTTAGATCGTAAAGAGTGATCTTGTTTTTAAGAACAGGAATCACCAAAAGTTTTAGACTCAAAATGTCTTTTTCATTTCCAGAATTAAAAAAAAAATCTGATGAGTGTTAACAATTTTTATCATTAGTTCATATGTGTAATGTTGAGATATTAATAATATGTCTCTTAGATCGTAAAGAGTGATCTTGTTTTTAAGAACAGGAATCACCAAAAGTCTTAGACTCAAAATGTCTTTTTCATTTCCAGAATTAAAAAAAAAATCTGATGAGTGTTATCAATTTTTATC